TTGGCCTGTCCTTGCTGGAAGTCCGTCCTCATTTAAATCTCTGGCAAAACCGCTGTTATCTTGGAGGGCCCGTGTAAAAAACCTGGTTCTTAAAACCATTATTCCACGAAGATCCTTTCTGCTGTTACTGCCAGCTCTCTTTGGGATCCCTGACTGTGCAGGCACTGTGTAGCAGCTCAGATTTCAGTGTTGTCCTGCTGCCCCTTGCACCAGCCCGCTTGTCTTCTAGCTGAGCAGCTCAGGCTTGGGGTGGATGAGAAGTGGTGCTGATGTTTCATCTGCTGTCCTCCTGCTCTCATGCCAGGTATGAGTCTGGGGACCATGTGGCAGTGTACCCAGCCAACGACTCTTCACTGGTGAATCAGATTGGTGAGATTCTGGGCACAGATCTGGACACAGTCATGTCCCTAAACAATTTGGACGGTGAGTATAGATCACCCCTGAATGTCAGCAATTCTTCTTCCGACATGGCCTCTGTCCTTCCCACCAGAGCGGAAGCCAGACCACCTTCAGGTCCTGTAGGGCACCTCCAGGCAAACAGAAGCATCCCGTGGCAGCTCCAAATGTTGTGCCGTTCTAGCAGTGGCACAGAGCCAGCTGAAGTGGGTCAGTTGTGAAACATACTTAAGTGTGCCCATTCAACAACAAATTATGCAACAGCACACTCCTAATTACAGAGCATCAGCCCGCCAGAGCATCCCTCTGCCACAGCAGCTCCTGAGCTCAACAGGGGCCTTAGTGTCTGAGACGCTGTTATTCAGTCCTTGGAGGAGGCACAGGCTTGGGGATTGAACTGCCAGGAGGGAGCACTTGTGCTGATACAAAGAGCTGCTCTTGGGCAGTGTTCCCAGCAGAGCTGGCCTCTGGCAGGAGAGAGATGGCAGCTCCTGAAGCAGTATAGCCTGACCCGAGGCATCGGATGTGCTGGCCCAGAAGCTCCTGGTTTCAAGAGAACAAGTGGCTTTAATGCACTGCGGGAGCCTGTGGCCCTCTGTGCAGTGTCCCATGTTGTCCAGCCTCATGCTGTCATTCCTGTCCCTTACAGACCTCTTAATTTGCTGAACTGAATGGCACCAGCCTTGACTGCTGGCGCTTACCTTTCCCAAGGGGGCTCTAAGCACAACTGTCCATGGCTGAAGGAGACTAAGGACACTTTTTGAGGCCAAGATCTGAAGGAGGTGTAAGCATGTGAGGCCAAATTAGCTGTGGAGAACAGCCCTCCTGCTTGGGCTGGGAGTTTGCTGGGTGCCTCTGCATGGATATCTTGGGGCAGAGAGCCCCATTGGGGGACCATGGGGGAATTTTTTTTTTTTTTTTTTTTTCTGATAAGCTGTTAGACAGCATCTGTGAAACACAGAATGGGATACTGGGAGACGTAGCTGCCTGGAGAGACGGAGCTGCCCTGTGCTGGAGCTGCTTCAGTGTGGCACTGGGGCTTTGGCCAACAGGCTGATTCAGCCCTAGGGCTGCTCTCTCCTCCCTGAAGCCCGTTCCCCTGCTCTGTCTCCAGCTCTCATACACTGCACGTAGCTGCTGGCATGAAACCTCTAACATAACAGCATGTGGTTACTGATTTTAAATATTTTTTTTTCTATCCCTCTTCTCCAGAGGAATCCAATAAGAAGCATCCCTTCCCCTGCCCCACGTCCTACCGTACAGCCCTGACATACTACCTGGACATCACCAACCCGCCCCGCACCAATGTCCTCTACGAGCTGGCCCAGTACGCCACGGACGCCAGCGAGCAGGAGCGCCTCCGCAAAATGGCATCGTCTGCTGCCGAGGGGAAGGTGGGAGCTGTGGCTTTCCCAGCAAAGCTGCTGAGTTGAACTGGGTGCTGGGGGATCCCCAAAAGGGATCCGGGACCGTTGAGCACTATGTGCAGAGAGCTGAGGGGGTGTTTGCCAGCCACACAGGGAAATCTTTACACGTGTGCTCTCCTTGCCCACAGGCTCTCTACCTCAGCTGGGTGGTGGAGGCCCGGAGGAACATCCTGGCCATCCTGCAGGACATGCCCTCGCTGCGCCCCCCCATCGACCACTTGTGTGAGCTCCTGCCCCGCCTGCAGGCCCGCTACTACTCCATTGCCTCCTCCTCCAAGGTGAGCGTGCTTCCAGCGGGGACTGAGGCTGCTGAGAGACAGCTCCAGCTCTGCAGTGCCATGGTCCCCTCATCAGCTGGGGACTGGACATGGGGGACTTGCCCTGGTGACACCTTCTGTGAGGGGGAGCAGCTTTACTTATCTCTCTGTGTGAGAAGAGGGGGGTATCCTAACTTCCATGGGGTCTGCAGAGGGTCCCACGCTGCAGCCAGCTGTGCCCAGATACCACCACCCTCCCTACAGCCCTGCTCCTCTTTGCCCCTAGGCCTTGCTTTCAGGGCTTGGAAGCAAGGTGGCATTTTAGAAGTGGGTCAAAATTCACTCTCTACTTTGTGCCTGAAGCCCTGAGGTTTTTGGCAATACTGAGGGAAGCTCAGTGGTCCTGTGAGGAGTTGGGTGCAAGACAGAAGCCCCATGTGGGGCATGGTGGGAGGTTTGATCTGTCAAGGGAGAAATAGTTGTCCCAATGTTAACATTAGGTTAAACTTCTCCCTGAGCCCAAGAGACTGAGCTGTGGGGTTGCTGGGGCTCCCTCTCTGCCTGGTGCTGACATCCCTTCCCCGCAGGTTCACCCCAATGCCATCCACATCTGTGCTGTGACAGTGGAGTATGAGACCAAGACAGGACGCCTGAACAAAGGGGTGGCTACCAACTGGCTCAAGAATAAGGTGCCCGACGAGAATGGGAGCAACTCCCTGGTGCCCATGTATGTCAGGAAGTCGCAGTTCCGCCTGCCCTTCAAACCCAGCACACCCGTCATCATGATTGGACCAGGAACTGGCATAGCCCCCTTCATCGGCTTTATTCAGGAGCGGGCCTGGCTGAGGCAGCAAGGTAGGTGCCCAGAAGCTTCCCTGGGGGCTGAAGCTGCTGCAGGACAGGGCTCTGCAGGGCCAGTTGGTGCCTCCAAGGTACAGCTTGTGCTGCTCACATCACTGATGGGTCTGGCAAAAAGCAGAGGTGATGGAGCAGGGTGAGGAGCAGCTAAGTGATTTTTGCCCAGCTCAAGGATGCTTTGTCCTCCTCTTGGCCTCAGAGGATGTTGAGGTGGGCAGATAGACCTGAGCCAGTTGTCTGACCTCTGCCACTGTGTCTCTGAATAACCACAGTCAAGTCACTTAGACTCGTTTCTAAAGCATACGGGTACTTCTGGCATCAGTCTTGAGCTTCTCCTTATAAACAGGAGCAGTCGCATGGCTCTGCCTCCCCAAGGCTGGCAGGACAAGGGGAGGTGGGGAGGAAGGGTTGGGGGCTGCAGGGGGCCAGCTGATGGGTGCTGTGGGACTCTGCAGGCAAAGAGGTGGGCGAGACAGTCCTTTACTACGGCTGCCGCCGTCAGCATGAGGACTACCTGTACCGTGAGGAGCTGGCCCGCTTCCATCAAGAGGGAGTCCTCACCCAGCTCAATGTCGCCTTCTCCAGGGACCAGGCTGAGAAGGTACCACTCTAGTCCCTGCCCACCATTGCTCCCAGCCATGGCAGCAGGGAAAGAAAAGGCTCCCAAGGGCTGGAGACTCCCAGCCTGGAGCCTTGCTGCTAGGGAAGGCCTGCGGTGTGGGGGCTCTGCTCCTCTCCCCTCACTCCTGCCTTGTTTCCTGCCAGGTTTACGTTCAGCACTTACTGAAGAAGAACAAGGAAAACATCTGGAAGCTGGTTAATGAGGGGAATGCTCATATCTACGTGTGCGGGTAGGTCTGCTGGCAGGGAAGGGACCTTGGGAAAACATTCCTATTCTCAGGAAAATGAGTGTGACTCAGTTTACCCACTTGTGCATTACAAGTCCTGGGAGGGTTATGCTGTCCTTGTTCCAGGGGAGGGCAAGCAGCCACGCAAATGGGCTGGGGTGAGCGAACCATCTGTGTTTGGTGTTGAGAGGTGACCAGGGCTCTGTGGCTCTGATGTGTTACTGCCTCGCTCATGGTCCCCTCATTTCCAGTGATGCTCGCAACATGGCCCGGGATGTGCAGAACACCTTCTACGAGATCGTGGCCGAGTTCGGGAACATGAGCCAGCCTCAGGCCGTGGACTATGTAAAGAAACTGATGACGAAAGGCCGGTACTCTTTGGATGTCTGGAGCTAAGAGCAGGGCTGGTGGGGCCGGGGAGAGAACGGGTCCCCAGGTGTGGGCCCGTGGGAGGTGGAAAGTGCCTGCTTGCCCACCGTGGCTGTGGGTGACAGTGTTGTCCCCAGCCCACAGCTACCCCAGTGTCACTCCCAACCCCTCCTGGGCCACAGCACCCCTGGGGCAGGCTGTGTACCCTGGCGGGAGGGAGGGGTTGAGAGGGGGAGAGGGGTAGCTCAGGCTGTTGTCCAGGAGCCACGGTGTCCCCGGCCCCCCAGGGAGCACCTCATGGCACCAGCATTTGCTGTGAGGCCAGGGACATGGCTGATGTGGGGCTGGAGGGACGGATGGTGCTGGGGAAGCTCTGGTGTCTTTCCCTGAACACGAGGTGTTGCCTTATCCCCTGGGGCTGGGACCACCCTGGCCTGCTGGCACGGGCAGCCTGGGGACAGCAGCCCCCTGCGCTGCGCCTTGGGTGTGAGGGCATGACGTGGGGCAGCGATCTGTCCTTGCCTCCCTCCTGCCCTGTTTGGCCAGCTCTAGGCTGTGGGCACAGAGCTGCCCCATGCCACCAGGACCCCACAGGCACCCCGCTCCTTTCCCCCACTGCCTGCCTTCGCTCCAGCATGCAGCAGGGAGGGGATGGCTCCTCTCCCCTCTGGAAGAGACCTGGTTTCAGGCCACAGGGGCCCCTCTTGCCCCCTGGGGTCCTGTAACCAGCAGCTCCCCTGTGCCCAGCCCCTCCCCCCCATGCTTGTGTACGGTCATTTTTTAAATACTGTTTTTATTTTAACATCTTTGTGATTTAATCTTGGAAAAAAAAAAAAACTTTCAGGCTGTCTAATGACTGTAAATTATTTAAATACACTTGCCCCTTGGAATACAAATACTGTTTCTGTAGTTTGCTTACTGCCCTCTCTCTGCTCTGCCAGAGGGAAGAGGGAGGCAGGAGGAGCAATGGCTGCTACCCAGGAGGAAACCTGGGGAAGCAGGCAGCAGCTCTGGGTTTAGGCTGAGCTGGAGCCCCTACCCTGGGGTGCTGAGCCCTGGCGGGGGGGGTGAGGGTGACAGCAGGGGAGGGATGGCTCTGGACTGAGGCACCGCTGTGCTGGAGGTGGTTTGGTTCCCAGCACTTCAGGAGTTCCTGGTGGCAGTACAGGGCTTCTCTTCCCTCAGTCTGCAGGGATGCTGGGCTCTGCTTGGCTTGTTGGGTGGCTGAAGCTCTGGCTGCAGCCTGGGGGCAGGCCAGGAGAAAACCACGGGAGGGAGCTCGCAGCACTGCCCTCCTGTCCCCACAGGCTGGTGTGGGGACACTTGGAGGTGGCTTTTCTTCCCTCCCCCTGATGTGTTGGGGGCCTGCTGCACCAAATCTGCAGAGCAGAGCATGCAAGCTGTTCCGAAGCAGCACCCTCCCTTTATTTTTACATGTGCATCCCACAGAGCTGCGAGACCAGGGTGCTGTTTGTGCAGCTCTGGCATGAAGCCTGGTTTAGGCTCGTGGTGCTCCCATGCCTCCAGTGGCACAGCTCCTGCACCTCAGCCCTCTGCCCTGCTGCTTGAAGGCAAAGGAGGAACCAGGACATGACAGACCCTGGAAGCCAGCACTTGTGCATGGCCTCCAGCTGCCCTTGAAAGCACCAAGGGCTGCTGGGGCAGCCAGGGATGTGCTTGCATGTGAGGGCTGCTCTACCTCTGCCTTCAGTGTGGGGGGGCTGCCCTGCCTGTGGGGATGGGGTGAGCACTGACCACCCCAGGAGCTGTGTTGGAGGCAGCCATCAGCCCTGGACCCTGCCTTGTCCCAAGGGAGTTGATGGAAGCTGGGCTCCTCAGGCTGCCCCCTGCCTGCAGCAGGGTGGGAATTTGCAGAGCTGGCCTTGACCCCGGAGAACCATTCTGGTAACTGTCTTCAGGGCAGAGGGAAGGAAGGGGAGCAGCTGCCCCATGCACCCTGTGCTCCGGGAGGAATCAGGCAGATGGGACAGCAGTTGCAGGGATCCAGCACCGCAGGGAACACATGGTCTATTCATGAGCAGGCCCCGAGTTCTGTCCCACACCCAGGGCTCCAAGGAAGGGTGAGACACCAGAGTCTGGACGGCATCGAGGGGATGGGAGATAGAGCCGGTGGGGAGAAACAGTCCTGGCCCCCACACTACTCCCACTTCAATTCCGCTTTGTGTCTTTGTTCTTGTTCTGAAACTTCTGGTGGACAACGCGGAGGGTGGTGAAAAAGTTCCCCAGGAAGAGGATGAAGAAGGGGAGGCCACACATGAGGACCTGGGGGAGCCACAGAGGTACAAGTCAGCAGGAGGGGCCTGCCTGGGGCATCCCCCTCCCCAGGGCAGCCACCTGAGAGCCCCCTTACCTGCCACTCCTTGCATTCTGGGTGCTGGATCATGCGGAAGAGGGTGACGGCATTGTAGAGCTGCCAGAACTGCAGGAGAGAGATATTTAAGGGAGTTTCTGCTTTCAGAGGCTCATCCAGTTGCTTCCTCTGGGCACAAACCCTACGCAGACCTGGCATGAGGCCAGCCTGCCCCAGCACGCAGTGAGAGCCCCCTCCAGGCTCAGGGCCAGAGGACCCCAGTTTGGGTCATCTCCCCTTTTCTTGTCACCTTCTGGAGCCCAGCAGTCAGGAGGGAGCCTCAGACCAGCCAACTGCTCCTGGCCATTGGCCTAAATGATCTGACCAAGGAAGATCACGTGAGCACTTGGCAGAACTACCCCAGGTCCTCCCCATCGTGCTAGCAGAGTTGTAGAGGTGGTGGGTGCTTTGCGGGGGCGGGAGCTCAGCACTTCTTGAAAGCCTTTCCCTGCCCCTGGCATCTGTATGGCATGGCTCCAGCAGCCTGCAGGGACCTGTGCAACACCCAGGCTGCCAAGTGCAGCCGAGAACACGGCACCATCCGCTCTGGCCTCTTGCAGGTCCCCACAAGGATCGGTGTGCACTCACCTGCCCAAAGAAGAGGAAGGGAAGCAGGAACGTGAGGCCTCTCCACATCCAGGATTGGAATCCCTCTGCAAAGGATGAAGTTTGCATGAAGATCCGAGAACACGCTGTCTGGGGGACCGGAGAGAGCCCAGCTCCCGAGGTCTCGGGCAGGGAGGTTTAGTGGCCACCCCATGCCTGTCTGAGAGGGTCCTGCCGGGCTAACACAGCCTTGCTGGGGGCACCTGTACTCACAGGGAGGACTGTGGCAGGGATTCCTAGCCCGAGGCTAACGTGGGCCTCTGGAGGAAGCTGCCAGCCCTCAGCCCAAGCACTGGGGAGGTGACAGCCCACAAGTTCATGGGGTGTTGAGGGGAGGCTTTCTGTCCATGAAGCAGCTTCCTGGGGGAAGCCTGGATGCCAGGAGCCACATCTGCTGCTACCTTGAACCCCGAGGGAGCCAGCCATGGGCCAGCGGCCCCAGGAGAGCAAGAGGAAGGGGGTATCCAGCCTATGGGCTGCTGCCGCCCCATGGGAGATGCTGCTTTCAGAGCTTCGGCCTTATTTGTAGCTTTTGCCATCTCTGCCACTGATAAACCGCAGTCAAACTAACCTCGAAACAAAAATAACTGTCACCATCGCCTTTAACAGAAACCACAGCTCCCAGTTAGCTGAGCAACAGTCTGGTGCTGGGAGGGAGGTGGCTAGCAGCCATGGACCCTGCGGCAACAGCAGGTCCAGCTGGACTGGGACAAGCGGTAAGGGAAGGTCCCGGCTTACCCACAGTCAGGTCCATGTTGTGCCTCTCGCCCAGCGCTCGCAGCCGGTACAAGCACCCGCTCTGATAGTAGTACTGGAGGAACTGCACGAAGCCTGCAAGGAGAGCGTGGCTCCCGTCAGCCCCGGCCCCCAGGCAACACTGTGCACAAAGACTGTCCCAGCACCAGGGTGGTGGAAAGAGGCCGAGGGGAAAACCCAGGTGAGCAGAGCTGGGAGCAGCCACAGCCGGGTCTCCACGTGTCGCAGAACCGGGCAGGCACGCTCGGCTCCCGAGGCCAGCCGTGGTGCCAGCCCCGGTGGCAGCACTTACTCTGGTACATGGAGAAGGAGAGGAACTGGTTCCTGAACATCTGGTACATGAGTCCATCCGGCCTGTGGAGAGATGATGCTGGCTGGGGGACGCAGCCAGCCCTGCTTGCCACACAGACGGGGTAGCAGCACTCTGCCTCGCCCCGGCTCCCACCAAAACAGGGATTTGAGACAGCCCTTCTGCAAGAATTGCAATGCAGGGGATGGCGTTTCCTAGCCCAGGGACCCCGCCTGCGCTGCTGTGCAAAGGTACTGGTGGCTGCTTTGTTTGGGGTGCTTGTGCCCGGAGAGGAACGTGGGGAGTTGACTGTTAGACAGCAACATCCACAGAGCAGGACTGCGGTCGTGGGTTAGGGCGGTGAATCATAGAATCGTTCAGGTTGGAAATGACCTTTAAGATCATCATAACCCTGCCAAATCCACCACTAAGCCATGTCCCTAAGCACCTCCTCTGCCTGGCTTTTAAATACCCCCAGGGATGGGGACTCAGCCACTCCACCAGGCAGCCCGTCCCAGTGCTTGACAACCCTTTTGGTGAAGAAATTTTTCCTGATGTCCAATGTAAACCTCCCCTGGTGCAGGCGATGGCCCCTTCACCTGAGCTGGCTGCAGCCCAAGCAGACCAGGGTCTCTACAGCCGAGAGGCAGGGGATGCAGACTTACCATGTCAGCATGACACCCGAGAGGAAGGTGGAGACATAGTGATGGAAAACCCACCAGCCTTTGATTCTGGAAAGCAGACACAGAGCTGTCAGGTCTTGAGCACAAATCAAGACCCAAGCACGCACCAGGAGAGCAGTGGCAGCCCATGCCAGCCACCCTCCAGCTCCCAGGGCAAGGCGAGGGGCAGGGCTGGTTACAAAAGGCCATGCGTGGAGCAGGATCCAGCACCTCTGGCTCAGGTGGCACCCAGGGGCTGGGGCTGCTCCACCTTCCCGCCCCGCCTCTGCATGGGGGTTCCTCCCGTCCCACTCCTACAGCTCATCACCGGGGTTTGCTACACACCCTAAGTGGGAGGCAGCTGCTCCCTTGGGAAGCACAAAGCTACGCGATGGTTCCCAACTCCCCAGCCTTGCAGAGAAGGACCGCCTCGCTGCACACCCCCCTCCCCGAGCCCAAGGGACTCACTTGGATCCGTTGTTGATCAAGATGCTCTCTCGGATGGTGAGGGTGCAGTAGTACCACACCAGGAGGAAGTTAAAGACAGCATCTGTCACCCTGGTGGGAAGCAAAGCGGGATGTAAAGGCAGCAGCAGAACCAGTGCCCCTGTGCTGGGGACACAGGAGCAGAGGCAGCCATCGCTGCAGGATGCCCACCCACCCTGTGAGCAGGGAGACCGGCTTCTCCACCATCCAAAGTGGCCACAGCGAGACCACAGAAGCCACAAAAGCCACCCCACCTCCCAGGCAGTGGCCAGAGCCTTTGTCAGGATCTCCTCTTCAGCTCTGGACCTTTTGGGGTGGGAGAGAAGGACACAGGGGGCCCTGGGAGGAGATCTCTGCCCAGCATCCAAGCCAGACTCACCTGGAGTTGAGAAGGAAGCGACAGGAGAAGGACACGATGAGCAAGATGATGGTGAGGTAGAGCTTGAACTTCTCATACTCATCTTTATAGGCAAACCTGCAGGGAAGCACAAGGACAGGCTTGGAGCAAGGTCGCTGCTGGAAGTCTCTGCCCTCCCATCCCACCTGGCTGGACAAAAGCAATGCTCCATTGCGAACCTGCAGGACATGCTCAGGAAAAACCTCATCCCCTGGGTATTTCTGAGAACGGAGCACACCAGGCTACTTTCACCCAGGTGAGGCAGCTTCATGCCCCCCATGCCAACCTGGCGGGTGGCCCAGAGGGCTCGGGGAAGCTGGGCAGGTTGGCGTCTGCCCAGCTCTTCAAGGGGATCCCTGGGGAACTGAGGGAGGACACGGACTCCTGGCTGGGCATTAGTGTCCCAGTGTGTGGGGAGCTCTTGTGGGCCAAAATTTGCCATTGGTGTTTCCCAAGGGAAGAGGAGAGGGCTCGCCAGCGGCTGCACAGGTCTGTCTCTCCTAGAAGTCCCTAACACAGGGGAAACTTGGAGACAGCTTTGGTGGAGGATTCTATTTAGCTTGTCCATCCCAGCCTGGTGGCAGGAGCACGAGGGGGAGTCAAGGACTCAGCTGATTCTGGGAAAGGAAGCAGGGGACAGCCTGGGAAGGGAATCTGCACCAGGCGGGTCAAGCCAGCCACGCGTCCGCACGGCGGCAGCTCTGCCCGGGAGGAGTTGCTGTTTCCTGGTGAGAAGGGGAGATCCCAAGCCGGGCAAAGCAGAGGGCAGCAGCGGCGAGGGCCGTACTTGGCCTGCTTGCTGAGCAGCGTGACGTTCACGTTCCCAAGCACCAGACTCAGGTACAACCTGGGGAGAGAGCAGAGACGTTAGGACGGGCCCGGGAGCTGGCAGCGCTGCTGGAGAGGAGAGGCAGAGCCCTCCCCTCTCGTGCCGCCGCTGAGGCTGTGAGGCCAGGAATGAGCCCCCCCGGCTGTTTTTTCCACTCAGAGCTGCCAGGCGGCGTGACTGGCACAAACCCTCTGGCATCTCCTCCCAAGGGCAGGGGCACAGGCAGCCGAGCACACCCCCCACCTCCCGCAGGCACCGGGGTGTTTGTCAGGTTCCTCCCCCCAGCACAGCCACCGTTCAAGGGCGGGTGAAGGCCATGAGCAGGCAGAGCGAAGGGGGACGAGGGCAGCACTGCAGAGGCTCAGCCTGGCTCCTGCCAAGGCATCCTCTGGGCAGCGTGGCCATGCCACCACCGGGAGCAGGGTGACAGCAGCTTCGTGCCTTGCAGCGTTACAGCCACAGGGAGATGGAGGGAGGACCTGGTGTTTCACCCAGAGCCAAGGCACATCTTACCCGTTCTTCTTTGGCAGATAGGCCTCCATCTCAAAGAAAACATTCTGCCTCTCTTTTATTAGGTTCTGGGTCTCTTGGATGGACGACTCCTGCTCGGGGCTCATGTGGGCTTTGCATCTGGGGAGAAAACGCAGGTGCTGGCATCAGGATGGGCTCCGAACCAGTCAGCACGTGCTGGCATTTGGTACAGGGCTGTCTCAGGCAAGGACAGGGAGGATGGACTGGAAGCAAGTCCACAACTCCATCTGCAGGGTGAGCTCCTCTGTCTGGCTGGGATGTTGCTCAAGAATTTAAAAGACATCTAGAAGTGGTGTTTAGGGACATGGTTTAGTGGTGGGATGGCAGGGTTAGGTTAACGGTTGGACTTGATGATCTTAAAGGCCTTTTCCAACCTGAATAATTCTGTGATTCT